AGAACTGCATTTTTTATAGACAGATGTTGTCGTTAAATGTGCTTGTAGTAATGATGTTTGTTTAGTGCTTATCTCTTGAGGAATTCAGAGTGCTTTACAGACATTTTCTTCATTATTTTCTTTTTCATGATCATATTTTAATCTTGACTATAAAATCTTAATTCAGTTTTCTCGCTGGATTTTCTCTGAAATATCTCCCATTAACCTTGTTTCTTACAACTCTCTGTATTTCTAGACTTACATACTTACACCAGTTCAAGCATCCTAGGGAAACATCCCAGATTTTTCCATTCAGTGTCTCAGGCGTCTGTTTCTCTCTTGACTGGTGTTGATCACGCAGAAACTTTCCCATTTATAATATCTTCACCATATTTCTTTTCCTGAATTGGAAAAAGTTATTGTTCTCTTATCTAAGGAGTTCCCCTTTTATTTAATTGTTCACTTGTTTCTAATTGCCTTGCTCCACAAAATATCCAAGGGAATTAAACGTGTTCTTTAACATGAGTCCTATGGATTCGCCTTGTGAACCTGATGTTCAGGGCAGAGAGGCTTTTATTCAAAAATCTTTCTCCTGTCAGTCCTCAAGGAATTTAACTTCCATTTTCATTGCAGTCATCCTTGAAGAAGCAATAAAGAAGAATCGTGACTTTAAGACAAGTTAACCTTTCGTATAAACAAGTTAGATACCTCCTGACTGCAGAAAATAGCCCCAAAGAACACCTTTTTGCTGGACTCTGATTAGATGAGGTCTACAGAGAATGTCTGTCCCGAAGACATCCTGGGATCCTGAGAGTGTATGGATGCACCTGTTAAATATTTGTCCATGGTCACAGAACTACTTAGGGACATGTTTAGAATCTAATTCAAATTAAAATGTCACTGCATAAGGTAGTCAGTAGCATGGAATAATGATTCCGTGATCCTGGGCAGTGGTGAGCAGGTTAAAGTTTAACAAATGGGATGGGGTCCGATGGAGAAATCCCTGATTGGCCCTTCTCATGGTGTCATGGCCATGTTCAAGCTATCTACCTGCCAACCTGAGTCCTTGAATGAGTTGGGAAGAGAAGCATGCAATCCAGTAGATGCTGGAGTATAAGGTGTTGCCTGGCTGGAGTGAGCAGATGTTTAAGAAGGAGCAGAACTGAGCTAGACATTCTCCCACATCTCATACCTTTCAGCTGGGAAGGACTGTCCTTGCCTCAGTGGACAAAATACTCTTGACCTAGTGAGCTATCATTTACATCCTAAGCCCAGTGCAAAGAAGGTCTCCCTCAAGCTTTTCTCTGACCCTTTCAGAAATAACCTCTCCAGCTTGGAATCCCAGAGTATTGAGGGTAGTTCCCAAAGCCTAACCCGGTAACATCTGTAATTGTGTCTTCTCCCACTAGACCATCGTTGGAGGACAGGAACCTTGTCTCTTCCTGCACTGTCAGAGGAGCAGTGCAGTGTGCTGGGTCGGAGCCCAGGCTCCAGTGCAGGCTGTTCAGCTTCAAACGCTGACACTGCCCTCACTCACCATGAGACTCTGGGCATGTCATCTGGCCCTCTGTTCTCATCTATGAAATGAAACATTAGGGAGTGGTCTCTCTCACAAGGTTGCCGTGCTGATGCATGGCATTACTAAGTTATGTTCAGTGCCTTGCACCTACTAAGCCCTGAATACATGTCATCTGGTATTGTTATCTCTAGCACATAGCCCCAGATAGGTGTACAGTTGTGGGTTGAATTGCGTCTAAGTGAAGCAAGGACATGATCTAGCTAGCTTAAGAAGAAATTGGAAAAGGCTGTGCCAGAGAGCATTGCTTGAACACCTTGTTAGGGGAATGAGAATGATACAGTAAATAAAAATCATACCCTCATAGGATCAGAACCTAATTCCCCAGCAGTGGAGTGAGGAACAACACAGAACAGTATGGAATCATCCAGCCCTTCCTCACCCCATGTGCTAGACACTGTAAGTCTATAAATATGCCAATTGTGATTGTAATAGCTTTTAGACGACTCTTTATTAAAATATCTCCATTTCGATGCTGTGCAGTTACCTTTTCAAAAATCTCAAAGGCTAGACTTTAAGTATATATACTGCTAAATTTTATTCCATTTTGTTCAGTCCATTATTCCAATTAATTCATATCACTTTCAACCTTGATTCTGCAATGTGGTCTATCTTCTACCCTTTCTAGCTAGCTCTGTTTTAGCTGCAGTTTTGTGAGCCTAGTTTCTATTTTTTTTTTCTGAAACACAATTACAGGTCACTTCTAAGAACAGAGCAGAGTCCCCTGACATACCTCTTTTTCTATTGCCATTGATTCATTAAATAGTTTTTTTTTTGACAGATATATTAACTCCTTTCAAATCTGCACAGTATGCAACATCTATATTATATCCCATTTGTTCACAAGGGTGTTGTGGAAATGTCATAATGGTACGTCTGCAGCATCTTTGTTTCACAGATACAGCAAGTCTATCAGAAAGAAAATGCAGCTAGCATGTTGAAACCTGTTCCTGATTAACCTGGGTTAGCTCCCAATACCAACAACTCCCTTTCCCAACCAACCAAAGGATTCTTGTTTCAAAATAGTAACATTGACTGCATCAAGGTAGATTATGATAAATGCACAGACCTTGGCAATCCAGGTGAGAAGTCTGGACAGAATCCTAAAGACAGTGGGAGGTTAATGACATTTCTGAATAGGGATTATATGGCAAAGTGATGTTTTAAGAAAAGCCATCTGGCTGCAGTGCCCACAATGGACTCTAGGGGGAGCCTCGTGTGGATTTGAATTTCCTACAATAATCTCAGAAGGGGATGCTGGGCTCCTGGATAAGGCTAGTAGTAATAAAGATGGGGAAAGATAAATTTGGATTTAAAAGGGAAAAATACAAAGGGATTATTGGGGGAAGATGATAGGAATGAACAATAAAAATGGTACTTTAGGGCTTCCCAATCTTTTTCTTTTTCTTTTTTTTTTTTTAAGATTCACTCATTTATTTATACAAGCACTGGGTACAGTCAGAAGCACAGGAGGGTGAGAGAATTCACCAGAGCCAGAGCGGAGAGCAGAACAGGCAGACTGACAGGCAGAAGTACACTGCTGAGGGGAGCAGCGGGTGGCAGGAGAGATCTGCGCACCATGTGGGACCCTCGCCTGGTGGCCGGGGATCGAACCGGTGCTGCAGAGGCTGCGGGCAGCTTCACAACCCAGTGCTCAACCGCTGCGCCACTGGGGAGGCTCCCCAATCTTTTTCACATCACAGAACACAATGATCAGTTTGTCCATTGGGCTCACAGGGCTGCTGGCAAATGGGGGTGGCCCTACATCGTGGGTCCCCAGTACAGGGTCTCCCTTCTCCAAAGCTCCACCTTTTCCTGACCACTGGTAGAAAACATTTAGCATCTCTATATAACTAGAAAGCTCTTTGGAAATGTCTGCTTTAGAGAAAGTGAGTCTGAGCAACAGGAAGAAAAACAGACTTGCCCCCAAATCAGGACCAATGGTGTGGAGAAGATTATACCTATAAAGGAAAGCAAATGTTGGCTCAGCGCCTGATTCTGAACGCAGCAGTGAGATTAAGGTTTACACACTTGGAAGAAAACTAACCAACATCCCAGTAATGCCAACAAAATAGTCCAGGATACCAAACACTGGCTGTGTTTCTGTGATACAATTCAACGAGAGCAGGGGCTGTACCAACCTCACTTGGGCTTGGAAGTTGGTGGTACAGACAAGTTGGGAGGTAGAAACCACACTTTAGGAGGCACTGAGTAGAAATCTAAGTGGAAACAAAAGCAGAAACAGAAAGGAGAGGGTTTTGGTATGATTTTGATATGGAGATCTAAGCCTCTTTGCCTGAAAACTTACCAAGTATTATGATTTGTTGCTTCTGATTGGTTTATATATAGTTAATAAGATAAGCAGCTTTGTATTCCTGGTGCCTCACCCATGTGACTAATTTGTGTTACTGCTTGGAGGAAATTACAGACTGGGAAGATGCAGGAGCTTGCAATCCATGATCCCTTGTGATAATGAAAGATGTTCAGTTATAGAAAATTAAAAGGTATTCCTTGTTTTTCCAATAATCTCAATGGTAGAGTGAGAACAAGAACCCACCCACAAAATCATATAGATGCTAGTATAAAAGCAGGAGTGACTGGCTCTTTTAGAAGATATTGGGGCCCACACACACCTTCTGATGATTGGCAGCAAGGCCATTTGATGCAGGATTCCAGGGGGCCCCTGCCTTTCATAGTGGAGTTGATGTGAATTTGGGATACAGAGCCTTCATGGCACTGTGCGGAAGCTCACAGAGACCTAGATGGTTCCTCTTGGGCCTCCCTCCCAGCCCAGTTGATGCATCTCTGCATTGACCGTGACATTCATCCCCAGTCCCAACCCACCCCTTCCCGGCCATGCTGTGTGAGTATTCCTTAATCCCGACTTATCATTTCATTCCAACTCCGATCCACCCCGTTCTCCACATGGCTTCCCACTGGAGCGCAGCTACAAGCCAAAACACATCCTTCTGGCTCATTTGCTCCAATCATTCTGCTGACCTTTCCAAAGCTATTTGCTGCTCTCACTCTCCTGCTCCTTGTTACAGTGAAGTAGAAAGAACCCGGCAGCCACGCAGGAGAGGCTGGCATCTGCCCAAAGCGTGGCCTCAGCTTCCCTTTTAGCACTTAGCACACAGCCCGGTAAAACATTTGATTACATTTTTGATGCCTTCACTCAGCATGAGCTTGATGAAGGCCATAATAGTGCATCTTTCACCATGGGGCTCAGTGGGGCACCCAGCAGATATTAGGGCCCCTTTTGGTGTTCAGTATGGGCCAAGACAATGAATGGCTGACCTGTCTTAGATTTGGTTTCATTCTGAATATGTTTTTGGAAAGCATTTTCTATACCCTGACCCACGGTACCCAGCTTCCCAGGTGATGAGAGGGCAGGCTGCCCTGTCTCTGCCACTGGATTCTGAGTCTCCTGTTTGCCCCTGTGCAGGTGGGGAAGTGGAAAGACAAGTCCCTGCAGATGAAGTACTACGTGTGGCCCCGAATGTGTCCGGAGACCGAAGAGCAGGAGGACGACCATCTGAGCATTGTCACCCTGGAGGAAGCCCCATTTGTCATTGTGGAGAGTGTGGACCCTCTGAGCGGCACCTGCATGAGGAACACAGTCCCCTGCCAAAAACGCATCGTCACTGAGTATGACACCTCCCCGTGGCCCCGGGTGGCACAGGAGGGGCATGGTCCGCCCAGCGTTAGCACCTGGGCCCTGAAGCCTAGACTCAATTGGGTTCCAACTGTGATTTTTGAGGATCCTAGAGCCCAGTGGTCAGATGTCTGGTTCCTTTCAGACCAGGACCTGGGAGAGTTACCACTTTGGCTTCTCCTGCTCTCAAGACCTCAGGATCCACCAGCACCTCCCATTTATGGAGATTTAAATGGACATTGCTATTAACATAGGTTTTGTTGGGCCAGAATGTCTTGAAATTTCAAGATTTAGAAACATTGTAAAAATGGATACAGTGAATCTACTCTTAGAAGTCAGAATGAGGGTGATTTTGGTAAGGGTAGGAAATATCTAGAAGGGAGTGTCAGAGGCCTCTAACATGCTAGTAACTTGTCTGCCTGGATTTGAGTGCTGGCTAAGTGAAAGGGCTCAATGTGTGAAAATCCATCCTTGGGACAGGCACTTTCCTGGTACTTACCCTACTTCTGAGGAGCATTAAAAAGTGAGCAAACACTTTTGGAATGAGTTTCCATGCTGGGGTCCAATTTATTTCCCCACTCAGCTCCACCATAAATTGGGCTGAGCTTTGAAGGGAGACAGTGCGGGGCTTGGGGTTTTAAGACAAAGGGTCATATTTTGCCTCTGTTTTGTTTCTTTAATTGGTTAGGAATAAAACAGATGAGGAACCAGGTTACATCAAAAAATGCTGCAAAGGGTTCTGTATTGATATCCTGAAGAAAATTTCTAAATCCGTGAAGTTCACCTATGACCTTTACCTGGTGACCAATGGCAAGCACGGCAAGAAAATCAATGGCACCTGGAATGGTATGATCGGAGAGGTGAGTGTCGAGAAGCAAGGTCCTTTCCATTTCTTACCTCCTTTGTTTTAATAGAAAGAATGCTCATGTTACGCATTTCATAAAATATAAAATAGCGAAGAATCTTGGCTGTTCCCACTATCCAGAGAAATCACCTCTGGGCTACAGATGTTAGTGGCCCCCTGGATTCCTGAAGGTTCTTATGGCAGCCTTGTCCTTTGTCCCCAGGTGGTCATGAAGAGGGCCTACATGGCGGTGGGATCGCTCACCATCAACGAGGAGCGCTCCGAGGTGGTTGACTTTTCGGTGCCCTTCATAGAGACGGGCATCAGCGTCATGGTGTCACGCAGCAATGGGACTGTCTCGCCTTCCGCCTTCCTGGGTGAGTGGCGAGCTGGCTGTTGAGAAGGAAATGCACAGAGCACAGGCAGATGCAGGGGACATGGCCTGGATCTTTCATCCAGGACATGGTTTGCTGGGAGTTTATCTAAGGCAGGGATTTATTCTGGAGACTTTAAAATCAATGATTCTCAAACCTAGAAATGGAAGAACATCCCCAAAAGTAGGAAGTTATGATACCCTGTAAGAAAACAGTGCTAACTGGTCATCAGTGGTGCTCCTTCCTACCACTCACTCACTCATTTGACCTTGAGCATCCCAGACCTTGGCCTGGCTCCCTCCTGCAACTCAGTTTCCTCATCCCTACAAAGAGGTATTTTAACTGCTTGATCTTGGAGACTGCCTCTTGCTTTAATCATTTCTAAATATGGATATCATTGAAATACCTATTTATTTTTAATTATCTTCAAGAATTGAGTTCAGTGCTACCAAAAAAGGTTTGCTGTTGTCACATGAATTTTTCAGAAGCTTTGCAGGATGAAGCTCATCTGATTCTTCCTCCTGCCCCACCCCCCTTCTCTATACTGTTCTTTCTTCCCCACTCCCCAGCATCATGTAAATGTCAAAAGCCTTAGTTGTGATGGAAGACTGGGTGACGTAAGGCCAAGATTTCAATTTGATGAGGTCTTTTGTGAGCTCATACCCCATATTTTTGCAGGGGCATTGAGAGCAAGGGATTGGGAAGTAAAAACTCACCTTGAAACTACAACATGGATTGGGGAGTTAGGGAAACTGACTTGGATGTAAACAAGCTGTAAGCCTTTAGACCAGTCACACACACTCTAAAGGACATCAGCCTTTTTGCCATGAGAATATTGGAAAAGATAGTGATTAACATTTCTTTAAGCTCTAGCCAGAGAGGGAAATGATTCAATTAGTGCACTGCATTGTAGAGTTATAGGTTCTATAGAATTTTTCTGTGAATCATTCAAGTTTCTCAACTAATATTACTTACAGTAAAGAAAATTCTTGTCCTGCCAGTTTTATGTAAACTGTTATTAAATTGCATGTACTTATATACATCAATCCTCATAGCAACTTTGTCTACTGTATTTGCTTTTATTTCTCTACAATGATAGCTGGAACATTAAAAGATATGAGGAAAACTACATTCTAATTCTAACCCTGTCTGTCTCACACCAACTTTAACTAGAAAGGTCAGTTGTACATCAGAGTAGCCTTAGAATGGAATAGAAATGCCAGGCGAGGTGTGAGTGTGAGCATGTGTGTATGAGTGTAGGGTGTGTGTGTGTGTATGTATATGTATGTGTAAGAGGAACAGTTAAGCAGCTAGTTAACTATGGGGGTAAGGAAAGCGAACATATTGCTGTACAACACAGTTTGCTGTGTTGTATACTGGACATTCTTGTACATTCTTTAATTATATGATCTCATTAATACTATTATACCTATTTGTGGCATGGGCAACAGAAGCTTAAACAGAACAATTATCCAGCAGTCTCTGAGCTAGTAACAGGCAGATCCAGGATTAAAACCCCATGTGGCTGCTTTTGGTGTCGGGGTTCTAGTATACACGGGCCATCTGAGAGCTGAGCTCCCAAATCAGGAGCCATGGTGCGGGGTGGTGACTAAGGAGTGGTGTGATATGATAAGAACACCCAGTAGACCATGCAATTTTTTTTTTTTTTTTTTTTTTTGGTGGGATTCTTGCCCATGGCCGGGGAATGAACCAGCGCTGCAGAGGCTGCGGGCAGCCTCGCAGCCCAGCGCTCAACCGCTGCGCCACCAGGGGAGGCCCTGAAAGGATCTTGACCTCAATATTTACGTCACTGTAAAATGGATATGGTAATCCTATAATGAAGGACTATCCCTAAGATTTTGGAAAATGTGGTTGAAAACATCTAAGTTACAAAGGCTGACACAAATGCATGCTGTATTTTGTGTACAGAAAGTAGCTGTGGGCTTTGTGGGGGAAGGAAGCACAGACGTGATGCTTTCACCTAGTTATTCCATAACCCTAGACAGAGTGAAGTGGGGGTAAGATACTAACAACCAGAGCCAAAGGGGAGAGGTTTCTTCTGCTCCACTTACGGGGGCTATGAATGTACCTTCTGCACTGCCCTCACAAAGGGTTTGCACATCACAGAGGGTGTGTTGTATTTTATCAGGGTCCTTTTTATTTTATTTTTTTAAAAGATTTATTTATGCATACAAGAACTGTGGGGTACAGGGCAGAGGTGTGGGGGAGGTGAGAGGATTCACCAGAGACAGAGTGGGGAACAGAACAGGCAGACTGACTGAAATACACTGCTGAGGGGAGAGCGGGAGAGACAGGAGAGGTCTGCCATGCCTTGTGGGTATCTCCCGCGGCTGGCCAGGATTGAACCCACGCTGCAGAAGCTGCAGACAGCTTCACAGCGCTGTGCTCAACCGCCTGTGCCACCAGGGAGGCCCTATCAGGATCCCTTTTAAATTGATGAAATGACCAGGTTTTGATAATTCCCTTGGGAGTACAACAGTAAAGTAGATGTCAAAGTAAGAAAATATTTTCTAATTGCCAGCTGTTTTTTTCCCCCCTTTCAACTTCATCTTTATTAATGATTTGGAAGATGGAGAAAACAGCATGTTGATTCACTTAGTTACGAGTCTGCAATGTGATGTGACAGCTAAAATGGCCGCAACTATTTTAAGACACAATTGAGGGAGCATTGTCTCCTAGGACAGAATAGCGATTATCCCTTTTTAAAAGTTTTCAGAGAGATGGCTCCTGGGATGCAGTGTTCAATTTCTGGACACCTCAAAGCTGGAGAGATTTAAATCAGCTGGCAAGAACTCAGCAGAAATGATTAAAGAAATTAAAGAAAGCATGTATGGGACATTTCTGCTGTCTTGTGTCACCATGTCACCCCAACCCTGTCACCTGCGGCAGGGAATAGATTGTCATTGTTGTTGTTGTTGTTGTTGTTGTTTTTTTAATAACAGCTGAGGCATGTTCCCTTGTCACCTGCTAGGTTCCCTCTTACTGTAGGTACTAATATTCAATGTGGAAGGATTTTTTTTTAATATTGAATTATATTCTTATACCCTAATAATGTCATAAAATAGACCACATCAAAGTGGATTGAAAAGTAAATCTAGACGGAAAGTTTAAGTGAAATGAGGCAAGGTGACAAGGAAGTATTTAATCATTACTGAATCAATCATGGCTGATATAGTAAACAAGTCTGTTGAGAATGAACTTGGCTGCAAGGTTGGGGAGCATGGTGAGAGCTTTTCTGGTCACCACTGTGTGGTGTGGCCACAGAGCTGGGGATCCAATCGAATCTGATTCATTTATTCTATATCTTATACTTCTTCCAGTCGTGCCATTTATCAAAGGACCCAGATATTGGTCCAATCATGGTGGAAACTGTCAACAATCTTAAAACGATGCCAGGCAAGAGTTCATCCTCATGTGTTAGAAGGAAAATAAACCTTGACCTGCCCACATGTAGACATGGCCTCTGACACCTCCTGGAGCCAAACCCTGGCTCTCTAGAGGGACACACACCTTATGGTGTTGTTCCAGAAAATGCATGTTCCAGCAGCAAGTGAATGACCCAGACACTGCCTGCTGTCTTTGTTAACCTGAGCATTGATATCTTCCTTCCCCAGAGCCTTTCAGTGCTGACGTGTGGGTGATGATGTTTGTGATGCTGCTCATCGTGTCGGCCGTAGCTGTCTTTGTCTTCGAGTACTTCAGCCCTGTGGGTTATAACAGGTGCCTCGCTGATGGCAGAGGTAAGTCACCTTTCTATGGTTTTCCTAGTTCTAAATCTACGTCTCTAGGCTCTTCATTTGCTTTCTGCCTCCTCTCTCGACTTCTCCATTTCTGAAAATGAACCCTTTGCCTGCTGCATCACCAATCCTTAGACTCGTTAGAAACAGCCTAATGAAGATGTTAGTTTGAATCTGAATGTCCCCTCCTTGGTTCATGCCAGACCCAGCCAGGTTCCACCCTTAGGTGACAGAGAGGAAAGCTGGCAGGAGATATATGTCACATAACTGTCAGAGGAAACTATTTTGACAACCTTGGGCTATGAGCAGTCTGTCTCAACAGATGGACTAACAGGGCAGATTATGCCCTTATATCAAGAATAAGAAAAATAGGCCACCCCAGCCAATAGGCAGGCAGAGTGGCCAGAGGAATTCTCCATAGCCGACAAGAACCACCAAGGTACATGATCTCAAACCCCTGAGTCCCTGGCTTGGCTCCTCTGTCAGAGGAGTATAAGGAATTAGAAGATTGAAATGAAATGGCCTAGAGAGGCCAGTTCTCCCCATAAGTGCTATACGGAATAGTCCAGTTTCCTGGCTCAGTAGCCCCAGAGGTGTGAGGGCTGACCCCATGCTTGAGGCATTTATGAGACTTCACACAAAAAGTTCACTAGGTTTCTGAAAGAGGCCATGGGATCCCTGAAAATAGCTTCTTCCAGTTTCCTAAAAACCCCAGGATTAGAATATATTCTGCATTTTTGGAGTCTTCATACTAGAATTACACTTCCAGGAAGAACAATTCTCAACCCCAGCTACACAAAAGAATTCCCAATGGAGCACTTCAGAGGCAAAGCTGCTTAGGCCTCCAACATTCTCATGTTCTAATTCAATGCATCTGGAGCAGGCTTGGGCCACTCTGTCAGAATAGTGATTCTCTGCCATGGTTGCCTATTAGAATAACCAGCCCACCCCACACCCGTTTAATAAGAATCTCTAGGAGGGGTGCCAGGCAGCAGTATTTCACAGAAGCTCCCCTGGTGCTTGTGGAAATCCCCAGGCAGCCTGGGAGCCACCATCACATTCAAGGATTTCCAGGTGCATACCTATCTTCTTTGCTTGGTGCATTTGGGGTGAAGGTTTGGCTGTCTCCACAGTACAACACAGACAGGGGATTCCCACCGGTGCCAAAGGCCCTCCAGACTCCATGACCTACTACTCTTCATCTGAGAAACACAGGAGTGCACATACACATGCACAATGTTGAGAGCTGAAGCTGGTGTGTGTCCTCTCCGCTCCTTCTCCACTCCCTTGAAGAAAATCAAAGAGGCTGAAAATCCAGACACAAAGTGCAGAGCAAGGGCTGGCGATCACTCACTGTCCCAAAGGATGCTGCTTGTCTTCACAAAGGAATTAGCCAAGGGGCCACTTTCAACAGCAAGTCTCCTTGGGACATTTGTGTACAAAAGTCTGATTTATAAATGACTTTTGAGTTGCACATCTGCTCCATGAAATACAGCACATGGGCACAGATGTGTGGGTACAGTTAGGTGCTGGGCTCAAGAGGTGCCACCATTGATGATTTTGTTGGCTGGGCAGGTGGTCACAGTATCACCGAGAACCTCCTAGGACATGTGCTAATGTGTCCTAAAATTACATGTGTGGATATTCCTCTCTGCTGGGGAGGGGCGCTGTGCCTCCAGACACCAGCCAGGACCTCTCCCTCGCCGAGCAGAGAAAGCAGCGAGGTCCCAACAAATGTCTGGACAGAGCGTCGGCACCGTTGGTGTAAAGGGTGGGCATGCAGTAGGCCCACTGATGGTAAATTCTGCCCTGGGGATTGTATTTAATAGCTGAAACCAAAGACTCATTGCTACATTTAGATGACTGACACCATGGTGCTTTTGAACTGATGAGAAACTTGCTCTTCCTGTGCTTTTTGATATGGACCAATCTCATGGGTATGAGGTGGTATCTCATTGGGCTTCTGAATTGCCAATCCCTGATAGTAAGTGATGCTGAGAATTTAAAGCTCAGAACTTCCTCTGGCTGGAGGCAGAAGAGAGATTCAGCTTGTAGGACAGTCAGAGCTTACACAGGAGGGAAGATCCAGTGTGTCATTGCTGGTTCTGTGCAGTAGGGCACATGCAAGGGCAAGAGGGGAAGAAGGACCATCCCAGCTAATAGTCACAATGAAATGGGAACCTCAGTCCTACAAATGCAAGGAATTAGATTTGACCAGCAACCCAAGCAAGCTTGGAAGTAGATTGAGCTCAAGAGCCTCAGAGAGAAATACAGCCTTGGCAACACCTTGATTTTGGCCTCCTGAGACTCAGAGGATCCAGTTGAGCCCTGCTCTGCCAGAACTGCTGACCTGTGAAATAAATTTGCTTTAAGTTGCTTAACAACCAAAAATGGTGGAGGAAAGTCAGACAATTTGCCTTTCCACCCACAATACATATGGTAAAGCCAAGGGTCTGTGACTTTCTCTCTGGCCTCCTTACTATTCTTTTTCACAGAAGCTACTACCATAGGAAAAGACTTGAGAGGTATTGGCATTGGAGTAGAGTCAAGGTTAGTTTCCAAATATTTTAGTGCTAAGTGCTAGAAGCTAAAGAAAACTCCATTCCTGATTGTATTCAAAGCCACCCAGCATCAGTGCCAATAAAATTGAAAGAGGCTCTATGATGATGATGGTGGGAAACACTGCACACCTTCCTGGCTGGTCTTTTTTGGACTTAAAATGCTTTCTTGATAGAAAAAAAATTTAGATAAAAAATTTAGAAACAACAATAAAGAGAATGCAAGTGTGAGGCTCCATAGTGGAGAGTTGCCTTGGTTTTTTAGTTTTTATGTGACTTAGGTGTCCCGTATACATAAGCACAGGAAGCTGACCCCTTCAGTGCCCTGGCTGAGTCATGATGGTGAGTTGGAGCAAAATCCCACACACCCCCAGAGCACTGGCTTTTCTCCTAGAGAATATCTCCTGCCTTCTAGGTCCCAGGAGGAGATAAACTCTCCATGTGAAAAACTGTGAACTGGGTCTTAGTTGGTGGATTTTCTGCTCTGAGCAGGAACTTGCTGGTTCTGGGAATGAACATGACGGTTTAAACAGAACCAGCAACTCAGCCTCAACTTCCTGTCCTGTCTTTCCCTCACTCCAGAGCCTGGTGGCCCATCCTTCACCATCGGCAAAGCTATTTGGTTACTTTGGGGCCTGGTGTTCAACAATTCCGTCCCCGTGCAGAACCCAAAGGGGACCACCTCCAAGATCATGGTGTCGGTGTGGGCCTTCTTCGCTGTCATCTTCCTGGCCAGCTACACTGCCAACTTAGCTGCCTTCATGATCCAAGAGGAGTATGTAGACCAGGTGTCTGGGCTGAGTGACAAAAAGGTAAGACCTAGTTTAAACTTCTTGGCTTTCCCTTAATCCCACTCTGGGCCACACTCAGAGTTCTCATGGACCTGTTCATTTTCAAAATCTTTAGAATCGACAGCTCTTTCTTGTGTTTCCTTACATTGGGATATCGAAGCAGAAATTAGTTTCCCTGAAATAATATTGCTGAAATAATACTGCTTTGCATTCACCTTCTGATTTGTGAAAGGTTGTGATATGTGCGCCCTGGACTGCAGATGAGGGGCTTGCTCTGTGGTCAGCTCGCAAGCATGGTGGCCTCTTGCTGGATATGCTTGGGTGGCCTATCAGTCCCAGGCTGCCCGCTCGGTGAGCTGTTAGGGGGGCCACTCCATCACCTATGTGGAGGGCACCTGCCTGTTATTGCCTTTTCCTCCCAGTGGTGTTGGGCTGTGGGCTCCCCCTCTGTTCCCCTGCACACATGTGTCCCCAGAGGGAGCAGGAGGGGGCTCACACTGTGCCCTGATGATAAGTAACTGCTATTTAACTAGATCATGGCCCAGTGTGGGGCTGATGAATGGGTTGCCCCCATACGATTTGCAGGCCCCCTGCTGGCCTGAGCAGTTGTGAGCTGAAGCGAAATGTCTGCTGGCTTCCATCTTTGTTGGGGAGGATGTGCAAAGCCGTTGTAAGTGCCGTCTGCGTTCAGGTCCTCCTAAGATATTGGTTTCTTTGGGAGTCAAGGAGCTCCCTGAATACTGTGGTTTCCCTTCATGGTATCCGTGAAAGTGCACAGATACTCCAGGATGATTTTCAATTACAACAAATTTCCTGCCCTGTGTTTCCTTGAGATTTGGGGAGTATGACTTCAGTTGGGTCGAGGTCTGATGTGGGTTAGATTTCCTCAAGATAAATCTTTAAACATTTAGTAAATGGATCTAGAAGCATAAAAAGGAGAAGCCATTCTCCTTGAGGGCTCAGATTCTGATTTCTCCATCTACTTACCTCTACGCAGCAAGAATATTCCAAGGCCTGTAAGGAAGATCAAACACTTCTTAAGAGAGTGAAAGAAATGTCATTATTCATCTCTGGCTCATTCACTGTTTCCCTCTTCATATTTCTCTCTTTGATTTGTTTTCCATTCTCCTTGATAGTTTTTCTTCCTGAAAAATTTTGCCTCTCTTGTATTCCTTCTCCCTATTTCATTCCCTTTTATTTACTTCTCTTTTCACTGATGATTTACTCTGCTTTTATTCATATCCACTTATTACTCATTTCAGTTTTATAGCCTCTCTCATTGTTTCTCTATCTGTGTCCTTTCTTCATCATTATGACTGTCTTAGAAAACGTGAGTGAAAATCTCCTTTCACCACATTAGACCCCCCCCTTCTCATACCTGTTTCTGTAACTTGATCAGGTATGGGATTAAGGATAACTACGCGCCCAGGATGTTGAATGTGGCATAGGTGAGCTGGACTATCTCCATCCTAAAACATGTAATGGACCATCTCTCAAATCCATGGTGGATTTGTTGGAGGCACAGTAGCCCCGCCTCACTTCAGGCTACAACAGTGGTGTGGGGGAACACGTGCTCTCACAGCTTGTGGCCAGACTGTGGCCATGCAATAAGTAACTCAGTGGCTGTGTGTAGAGCCATAACCCTTCCGGGACTTTGGGCTGCTAGAAGGGACCTACCATATTTATCACATTACTTTCTTCAGATCACTCTGAGAATTGTTTAGGACATTGTATTTATCACTGTCTACCCTCATGGGCCACCCAGCGACAGCTGAATGATTTTCTCCCTGAATTATGCATAGGAGAGATGGGGGAGATTGCTTTTCCTTCTGTGGTTTTGTGCTCAAGCCAGAGAGACTGTGGCCTGTTATCCTCCATACCATGTTCATTACATTCTAGAAAGTTAGATCCATTGGTTCTTTGCTTAAGGAACTTAAGTGACTCCATTGCATATGGAATAAAGATGATTTTTCCCCCCAGTGTGCCTTTTGGGGCCTTCACAAGTGATTCCCGATGTCTAGCTCTTCAGTCTCATAGGTCAGTCCTTAGGTTCTGGCATGTATGTCCTCGTCATCCTTTCCAACCATTCCTCTATCATCTGCCTGAGGTGTTCTTCTGACTTCTTCACTCACCAAACTCCTACTGAAACCTCAAGACCAGATTAGAGAACCTTTTACTTGTGGAGCTTTCCTTGGCTCATCTGGGCAGGAGTCGCTCTGTCCTCTGCAGTGGTAATGATTCATACTGGTAGTGCTGCAGTCATCTGAACCTGACCATGAGCTCCTCAAGGTCAATGACCATAATAACTTGGTTGTTGTGTTTAAGAACATCTGTGGAAAGAAAGGTTATATTTACATAGGAGCCTCTTGCACAGAGAGCAGTGGACGAGCCATAGAGGCAAAGACAGCCACAAGAATTCTTTGACAGCAGTTTAATTTGATATGAGTTTTTGAATACATTTCAGAACTTTGCAAATGACAAAATAGCAAAGAATAAGCATCCAACCAGAAAGTGTCAACATCATTTACATAATTACAGAAAGCATATATGTAACTAATGACATATAGCTGCATAGCAGTGTCAGGAACAGTTATACAAAAATAGAATTTTCTGAAAATACACTTAAAATGTAAAATTCTTACTAGCTTTTCTTAAAAATGCCTAAGGAGGGCCTCCCTGGTGGCGCAGGCGGTTGAGTGCAGCGCTGTGAAGCTGTCCCCAGCCTCTGCAGTGCCGGTTTGATCCCCACTGGCCACAGAGCAGCCCACATGGCGAGGCAGACCTCTCCTGTCTCACCCACTGCTCCCCTCAGCAGTGTATTTCATCAGGCTGCCTGTTCTGTTCCCCGCTCTAGCTCTGCTGAGTCCTCTCACCCTCCCAGACATCTGGCCTGTACCCCGGGTCTTATATAAATAAATAATTTTTTTTAAAAAATGCCTAAGGAAAACAAAGTCTTGGGGCTGAAATGAGAAGAAGTGTATTTTGTGAATTAAAAAAAAAGAATAAAGTCATCCAAACAGTAACATTGACGACTGAAATGGGTGCTTTTAAAGATGCCTTTCTCAGTGTAGTTAGTTTCATCAAAGAGAGCAACATTTTTATGGAGACTGTCCCTAAACTTGTTTTTACTCTCCCAGGTAGCAAAACTCAGAAAGCAGACATCAGGCATCTCCCACATACTTAGATCAAAGGAACAATATCTTGGAGTGATGCCAAGTCTTTATAGTCATTAAATTGATATATTTTAAAAATTATCTTTCATTTTATAGCAGAAGATAGTTCCCAGATCTCATTTATGTTAAGGTACCAAATCAGCAGATTCAGAGTTATATTTCCATGAAAACCTATTTTGGGGCTCCTTTCTACTGGATGGCTTCCATTTCGCAGGAGTGCATGCCATCAGTGAGCTCAGAATTATTCCACGAAGATGCTGTAACTAAAAATGGGTGCAAGATCTAACATTTAGCAGCTCTACTGTACATTCTCCCAGTTCCCCCAGTGGGAGGGGAAGGATGTCAGGAAGCTGGTGACATCTTTCTTAACAAAGAGCCCTCACGCTGAGTCTCATATTTCTCCCTCATCCAGATGGATTTCTCATTCTACAGTTGGCCAAACACAAGCTGGAGTGGAGAGAGCTCAGTCAGGTGAAGGAGGCAGCATATTTCCAGTACACTATGCATGTTACACATATGTTACATGTATCTCCATCCCACAGGCATGATTATTCCCATTTTACAGGTGAGCACTCAGAGGCTCTGGGGAGTTTAGTCTCTTCCCTGAAGTGACACATTATCAAGTGACAGAGCCAAGGGCCGTGTCCCTATGTATGTGTTGGACTCTACGTTTTGCAGGGGGTCTCCTTGAAGCCCACCCAGGCAGAGATCTACCGTAGCTAAGGGTGATGTTTGCTTCCCGTGCCCTCTCAACTGGCGACTATGTCGCTTCCACATCTCAGGGCACAGGACACCACCTTCATGGCTCCTTGTACTGCTGTTAATAATAACGATTATCATTAGTGTTACTGTAGCTCCAGCAGTAATATCTCTGCTCAGATTCTTGGTTCACCTCTCAGGAGCCAGGCAGAACGCCAACCACATTACATAGGTTGCCTTATGTAATGGTGCTATGAATATCTCCACTCGTAGATGAGGAACCTGAGGCTGGAGAGATGAAGTCACTGCCTTCCTATGTTCACAGCCGCCTGTCGTCCCTGCATAGCGTGGGGTCTTTCCCACTTACTCCCCTTTCTTCCTGCCCTCCCCCCTAGCTTGCTGATCCTTTCCGTCTATTAAAAAAGCAGGATCTGATGAACTGACCCGTGATAATTAGCATTTTAACATTTGCACTTGATTTAAAAGGCATTACTTTAAATAGAGGTTGGTGGGGATTTCCAGTGTGTGGGCAGGCTAATGGCCCTCAGATTGACTTCAGCCTGGGCTGGCGTGACCCTGGGCTGCAAGCTCCTGTTGGAGGGCAGGAGAAGGGTACCAGTAGGAGAGAGAAGGGTCAGTGAGGAGTCAAGGGATGAAGGAAGCCTGCAGGGGAGCGGGGGCAGTGAAGGTCGAGAAAGGCTGCAGTCTGGCTTCCAGCTCCTGAGAGCACCTGCCCTCTCCCTGTTCACACCTTCCTGTACCACATGATGGAGTCCCCCATTACATTGTGCAGTTTCTTTCCTGAAGGACCCAGAGGAACTTTATTCACTTTGGTATATCAAAAAGGCGCTCATCTATTGAATGAGGGTGCCCTTCTTGCTGGCAACATGGGGGCTCCAATTGGAATGACCTGCTGGGGACTAAATCAGGACCCCATGGCTTTTCTAGGCAATGGTTATTCTGGGATTCTGAGAGGTTCCTTAGGGTCTAGGAGTCACCTCATGTTCTTTTGGGTTAGGGGAGGGTATGGCTTTTAAGCTGGTCTGCACACAACTAAGTATGCACTCCCGAGGAAACCCAGCCTGCCAAGGGGCCTGTTCACACCGCAACGACACTGGAATAGTATGTGTGTGAGAGGAGATGACCCAC